CGTTTGCATGGAAGGTTGTGCCAGATGAGTTTCTGCGATGTTCCATATCCCCTGTGGGAGGTCGAGGAGATAGTCCACCTTGTTGGCAAGACCACTGGGGTTGGTGGTGCCGATGTTGATGCGAGGCCCAGGATGAGAGGCTTCGCCAAATCTGTGAATTCGATGCGGCCATTGAGTGTCCGACCCAATATCGCGGTGGTCCGCGCTGTGCATGTAGAGGCGGGCAAAACACTCTCCGGCCGACTTGGAAAGACAAAATGTCTGAAGCTCAGGTCTCGGATGTGCAAGCATGGTGGTGTACCAATGATCATTCCCGTGGAGGTCGTGGCCGACATACCCACAATCGGTCTCGGTATCCAAGGGGTTGTGCTCAAGGGTCCACAGTGTGGAGGCCCTGGACTTGTGTGCAAGATCCAGTGCATCCGGGACAGGACGTCCACTTGCGACGTGGATTCCTGTAGAGAGGATGACCAAGTGAAAGGCCAAGATGATGTGAAGAAAACGGGGTGAGCCGCAGCGCAAGAAGCGGGCAAGCACCTGAGTAGCGCAAGGCTCAGGCCTGTGGCGCCCTAGTCACTCGGTCCTGTGTTTCTTTTGGAGGAGGCCTTCCAGGTTGGAGAAGCCTTTGGCCATGTCTTCGCGGAGGCTGTTGCTTTGCTGGGCCACGCTGTGGCCAAGGGCCGTGAGCTCTGTCTGCTGGGTGGCAACGGTATGTGCCATTTCCTGCAGCTGGACCTGTGTGTGTTGGTTCGCTGCTGCAGCATCGTTGAACCATTGCTCGAAGCGAACGTTGTGGTGCTTCAGTTCGGTGACGCTGGCCTCAAGCCGTTGAATGCGGCTGTCGTCATGGGCCGGCTTACGGTCGTCCATGTCGGTGTCTTGGTGGCCGTTCCAGCTGATGCCTTCGAGCTCCTTGCGAATGGTTGTTTGAAGATCAGTGCGGAGTCGTTGTTCCACCTGCTGGATCTTGTCTGTGGTCGGGAGCGAAGATGAAGCTCCCCCAGATTTTTGCGACCATGCTGCCCATGGATCAGCGCCCGTGGTCCAAGGGTCTGCTGTAGTGTGGGGAGACTTGGAGGTGTGTTGTCCCCGAAGAAACTGCTGGGTTTTGGTGGATGCGATCAAGGGCTGTGTGCTGCTGTCCGACTTGGCCGATCGGACTTTTGTGATTGTGATGTCACCGTGGGTGCTCGACATCACGGACTGTGGTGGTGGTTGTTCTGCTCCAACTTCCCAAGCTGCTCCAGCTGCATCGCTCCGAGAAGGCTGCAGTGGTCGTGCTTTCCATTGCCAGGTGCGGAGGGTCTTGATGAGGCCTGCCCGTTGGGTGCCTCTGGGAAGAGGGTAGAGCCGGTAGATGTCCACGATCTTGACATCGAGGTAGGGCTCATCCGGTTTGAGCCGCTGGTGAGCGTCTGGAAGTGCAGCATGAGGAAAACGGATTCCATATCGGTCCTGGAACCGGGTGATGGCGACTGCTTTGTCGGTGGTCTTCATCTTGTGCATGGCCTCCTGGTACGAGAGGTTGTTAAGCCAGACAATGCCATAAGCCTCCGAGGGGGACTTGCCGGAGCTGTCCCTGGGGTCGAAGTATATTCCGAAGGGGCCAGAGCATCCAATGATGGTGTCTGCGGCAAAGGATGGGATTCTGATGGTGGCACTCCAGATCGTGGCGTGATCGCTGGGGACTTTGTTGCCCTTGTGGTTGGACCACTGTCGGTTCCACAAGTCCATGATGATGGCACTGATGGGGTCCTCATCCACCGGCAAGTGGTATTTCGGACATGCGTCCCCACAGGCAGGACTCTTGCAGAGAGTCAGTGCTGGTTGTTGTTGAAGGACGGCTTTCATGGGGCCGGTGCTGAATTCAGTCCAGTCCCGAGGCCACTGGTCGCGAAAGACTTGGAGCTTGATGGTGAAAGTGGCAGTGGTCACAATGCTCGGGAGGTTCTTGTGCTTCTCTCTGTTGACTCGAACCTGCCCGAGTTGTATGAGGCTGCCCTGGATCAAGACCGGCTCCTGGGTCTGGGAGTGAGTAGCGGGGTAGACCATGTTCTCAACCGGTAGAAGGCCGACTTGCTCGTGGGGAACACATGTGGTCGTGAGGACGGCCAAGGGTCCGTCGTAGATGGGCTGGTCATCAGTGAGGTAGGGTAAGACCTCGGCCACAGTGGCAAAGGCCAAGCCAGCGTTCTTGCCCACACGATTGAAAGGAATGTGGGGAATGTGTGTCCCATCTTCGGCAAGAAAGGAGCCAGGGATAAGGACAAGGTCGGTTGGGCAGACTTGCAGCGGTGGCTTTGGTGCGGTGGTGGTCCTGCCCTTTTTATTCGAGGGCTCGAGGCTGTAGCGCTGTTCTCCCCTGGCTTTGACCTTCTGCATGAGTTCGTCGTGCTGAAGCCACATGAAGTTGATGCCAGGTTGTGATGCAAGGCTTTTCAAAGCAGCCCATGGATTCTTGCTGGAGAGAGCAGTTTGGACGTCTTTGATGTTGAGCTTGCGTAGAGCTTGATGAGCTCTATCTTGTGCCCGGTCAGCTGGGATGCCCTTGCTGATCAACAGAGGCACAAGCTGAGTGATTGTGGTGTCATTGGTGCCAGCTGGACCAGTAGGTGTGGTGTGACCAGCAGGTCCTCCGTAGCGGTAGAGGATGTAGAAGTGCGCATCCGGGATGGAGCTGTAGATGTCCAGGTCGAGGCAGGTGGCGAGGTGTGCCAGTGCGATGGTGCCGCATGTGAAGGTCTCAAGCTGCTGGTAGTGCTGTGTGGGTGTGAGAGAGAGACACGGGGTACCCCAGGCAATTGCAATTGCCTTGGCGAGGTGGAGACCACCTTGAAGTCCTCGTCCTGGAAGGCCATCCAACAGTAGGGCATGGAAGCCTTCTGCTTGTGGATAGCATGCAAGTGTCGCCCAGTGGTCATCGTAGGCAAAGATGGTGAAGAGAGGTCCCGTGCGTGCTGGTACGTTGTCGAGTAGTGGATGTGCTGGTTGTATGTCTGGCTGTTGAGCCAGAAAGGAGCCAAGGAGTGGTGGTAGGAAGTTGATGTGCTCGCCGTTGAGCTCCCCGTGGTGGTGTGCGATGGCTTGGAGCTCGCCTTCAATGTGTGCGTCCCCGAGCCCCCCTGAGCAGAGTAGTGGGGTTCGCGTTGAAGGCGATAGGGTCCGAACTTTCCTTGGGTTTGCAGTGTGGCATGCAGTGGGAGCTTGATGTGACCATCCCAAAGCGTGATGGATTCATCTCCGTGAAGTTGTCCTTCAGCTGCAAGCAGATCGTGTACTTGCTGATGTCCTTCACGAAGGACGTTGATGTAGAGTTGGTGCTCGTCCAGGATGTGGATGTGCCGTGTGGCGTGTGAGTCCTCTGTGATCCATAGGTGATGCTGCTCGAAGAGAAGGGAGTCTTTGTACCCCTGGAGGAGCTGTTCAGGATTGCATGGTGGCCCCCAGTTGTACGCCTCTTGTACTGCCTTCACGAGGTGCGAGGCAACCCAAAGCGCTTGTAGTGGAGCAGCTACTTGGCCAAGTAGGCATAGGCCATCCCGTGGTTGTCCAACGTACTGAATGCTTTGGGGCACTGTGAGCAACAGTGCCGCCTCCTTGGTGTGAAGGAACCTTGGAGCTCCATAGATCAGGGATCGTACGTAGAAACCACGAAGTCCCTGCTGTAGTAGACGTTCCGTGCAAAAGGATTGGCTCCTGCATCCACACGGGCATTTCGTGAGAGCGTTCCCATATGAATGAAGCAGTGTGGGACATGGAGCGGAGACTTGTAGTAGTCGGAGTTCATCGCCGTAGTCCGGGTTGGTGTACAGGGCGATCTCACGCTCCGAGAGCAGCAGTGCCTTCTCCTCTTCCTTGGTCCATAGCGGCCATCTTGGAATGATGTTCTCCACCGTGAGGAGAGGTGCAGTGTATGGCCATGTCTGGAAAGATTCCAGATTGAAAGTTGCTGGGGCGAGGATCGCCCACCATCTTTCCCGGTGTGCTGGCCACTGGTGATGGAGTGCCAATACCACTGTCTTGAGCTGGTAGTGCATGAGGTTGGCCAGATAGGTAAGGTTCTGCATGATGAAGCTGTAGTGCTGGACTGTGGCTACACACTCCAGGATGATGGCAGGTGCTTGAAAGAGCCATGCCGTCTTGAGAGTGGCTCCGAAGGTTGCTGAACGAGGGTCGCGCTGTCCACGTCTGTCTCCCTGCCGTGAATATGGTTGGCAGGGGAATCCTGCAGCAAGTACTGCTGGCTGGGAGCCTCCTGCAGCATGAAGCGTGGCCACGTGAGCGTTCTCGTGGACACTGCCCATGATCACATTGTCCGCGCCGTTGGCCTTGAGCTGAGCACATGCTAAGGCGTTGTGATCCATGTGTGCGACAGCACAGATTCCTGCTTGGCGGGCCCCAATGGCGATGCCCCCCATGCCTGCGCAGACTTCTTTCAGCCTCCGGTAGTGCATGATGTGCACTGGCTCGTGGTAGAACCATCTGGTGTCCTCTGTGGAGTTGGCGGTCAGGATGCCATCATTGGTGAGGAGCGTGGTGTTGTAGATCGTGAGGAGGCGAGTGTGGTCGAGGTGGGCCGGGATCAGGAGCAGGCCACCGAAGGGCAAGATCTCCATGAAGTGCCGGCCCATGAGAGGAGCGTCCGTCTCCGGCAGGACCGGTCTCAGGACTCCAGTCCAGCAGCCACCGTGCGCCGGTGGATCCATCCAGGTGGGCGCCTCCATTGCACAATCTCCAAGCGTTCGGCCGCCCTAGTCTCACCAGCTGAGAGGCGCTTGGTCCGAGACTTAAACACAACAATACAAAAGAACGGAGGACAGATTAACTCGGTTGCTTTCTGCTCTCCTGCTAAAAGTTTAACTTTTAGTGGTTTAATGGAAAACCCATTAGTTGACGAAAAGTTGAAGTCCTAACATCCAAGCAAAATGCAACAAAGTTAACATGAAACAACACCGGCGCAACTCTCATGCAGCACTGGTGCAGCCTCCAGGGCTCCAAGCCTGTAGGTCACTCGGCACTTTGTCCGCCGGGATGTTCATGATCAGCGCCTTTGCGGTGCGCTTACCAGGTGACATGCTACTGGTCTCACCTAGGTCCTCCAGTAGAGAGGTTAGAATAAGGGTACCTTTTTTCTGTAGTCTATTTTAGTAGGGGGAACCCTCCCCCAAAAAAGGGGCAAAAGGGCACTACTGGGACCCAGTCACTCTCTGAGGGGTTGGGCAAACCAAGCAAACCAAAAGCAACGTTTGTTTCTGACTTCCTGAGTGCTAAGCTAGTTCTGTTCTACTAAAACAAAACATGCATATAATGTTGGCACCCGATTAGTACAGGGTACCGGAATAATAGAAAGTTGTTTCCTTATTATGGTTCACACCCATTGTTTAAGGGGACCAGAATAATAGCAAGTGTTTTTTGCCAGGCAGAAAATTAAAAAAACAACTCCACAAAGCAAATTTAAATTAAAAAAAATCCCCCCCCCCAAACAATCACCCAAAATCCATGTTGACCCCATACCAAATGCCAACAAATTCACAAACATGCCCAAACAATCACACAATTGGTTGCTCAACCACAGAACCCAAAGCCAGCTGAAACCTCTGAAATTTGAAAACCATCCGCAGCCCTGAAACTGCAAACTCTTTATTAAACCGTGCTAAAAATTTGAAAGCCATCCCCAGCCCTGAAACTGCAAACTCTTTATTGAACCGCGCTAAAAAAATGCAAAAAAACAATCAGGACAAGGGTACCCCTCACAAACCCAACTGAACCACAATAATGCGATTGTTTTAGGGGACCACAATAGTGGCAAGCCCCCAGCCCCCCCTCCCAGAAAATAAACTATCAGTTGCTTTGCTCAAAAGCATGCCCCTTTCAATTGGTGGCCCACTTGCTTAAAAGCATCCCCTTTCAATTGGTGGCCCACTTGCTTAAAAGCATTCCCCTTTCAATTGGTTGCTCAACCAAAGAAGTGGCTGCAATACTAAAGGAAGTGGCTGCAATACTAAAGTAGAATTGCAAAAAGGAAGTGGCTGCAATACTAAAGTAGAACTGCAAAAAGGAAGTGGCTGCAATACTAAAGTAGAATTGCAAAAAGGAAGTGGCTGCAATACTAAAGTAGAGTTGCGAAAAGGAAGTGGCTGCAATACTAAAGTAGAATTGGGCCCCAAAACCCTCCATTGTTTGGACGTCCCAAAAGTGCACCCCCATTGTTTTGGCGCCTCCATTGTTCGGGGGGGGGGGGCCTTTATTAATCAAGTGCCAACATTAATATATATATATATATAAAACACGCCCAGCAACTGGAGGTAGGTTTGGGTTTCCCTCCCTTGAAACGAACCTCAAGGAAAGTGGTTCTCACAATCAGGGTTGGGCTCCTGCCGAAGACTTGGCTGACGAGTTTCCAAGACGGTAGGGAATCACGACTAAGAACGCGGCTGGGGGGGACCAGAAAGAAGCAAATGCAAATATATACCTCTCACAAGATAAGGTCATCACCAAAGTGGGCGCTACATAGGGCCATACACAGAAAACATACACAGCAGCAAGTATTTAGCAGGATGCTAAAAAAAGTTGCCTTTTTGCCCAGCCATCCCTGAAAGACAACAAAGACAAAAACAGCACACAATGCGGTGTTCAACTGGAATGATTTCTCCATTGAAAGGTTCACCGTTCAATCAACCTTGAAAACGCAAATGCTAAAGAGGAACAAACAAGGGCAATGTGACATCACTGAATGACGACCCCAAACCAGCAGTTCGAAGCCAAAGCTACCCTCAACCTCCCCGTCATGTTCGGGCTGCGGCATCTGATCGCTGACCATAGGCATCCTCGCTACGGAATTCTCCAGACATACACAAATGGGGCTGTGGACTTCACGAACATGCCAGGCCCAAATGTCAGGTTTATGCTCAACATGAATGTTCCTCTCAGCGAATCCTTCCAGTGTTTCACTAGTTCATTGCACGTGGCTAAGGCAAAGCGAAACCTCAAGACATCAACAATCCTCGGCCAAATGGATCCGAACCCCGACAACAAGTTAAATGGTTGCAAACAGGGCAAGAACCCCGAACGGGCAGGAAAGGACAGGATCGCCTTGTGAAACCGTGACGTGCATTCCCTCCAAATCTGAGAAAAATACAACACCCACACACAAACATGTTCGATGATTTTCGTGCAGCCCGCCGCTAGCCCGTGCCGCTTGGGATTTCACAGCCAACAAAATGCAGGCAGGAGGCCTTGGCACGTCATCTTGCACGGAGAGCATATCCCAAAAACACACGCGCTGCCCATGAACAAGACCAGAGTCAAACACAGAGCAAGGCCACGTCAAGGGCAACCACGGGGAGACAAACATGCAGGGTTTGTTTTGTGGCTAAGGCTGAAACTCTTCCGTGAGTGGTCCCTCAACTGATGCTACAGATGGTTTCCACATGTTTCACCCCCCCAGAAAACTTCCCAGCCTGGGAAACAAAACGGCGCATCTCAGAAGCCGGTGGCCATGGGGAAAAAGGGGTACGCTCTTGTTGGTCGGGTGGAATCCACGGGTTACTTTGTGTCCTTAGGGGACCCCCCAAACTGGCTGGGGTTCTCCTTTAAACCACTGATACGCTTTGGATGCTAGACTCTCAGCAAATAGTGACCGAACATCCGGCGTCCTCAGGCGAGATCTTGACCTTCAATTTCTGACCCACCTGCGATAGCTTGCTGACCCCAACCCCCTGAAACCTCAAATGGGGTGGACTTAACCTTACAATACCTGACGTAGGGGTCCACAAATGGACGCAATTTCATGGCGAGCTCGTTTCTTCCCTCGAAATTGGTGAGCTATGCACTGGTTTCAGGGTCCCGCTCTTTTCCATCTCTTAACTCTGAAAGTTTCTCCAGCTTTTGATGAGTGCGTGGCAGACTTGATTGTTGTGGAACTCCCAGCTCGAACACGGGAAAATTGCAGAAATCCTTTCAGAGACCTTTGCGGGGCCGGGAGTCCATCCTTCGCTTCAGATTTATGCGACCGTTGGGGAGGTTGCAAGAACTTGGTGCATTTTTCTCGCTTCACGGGGTCAGCCACGGGGGGCCGGTGGCCATCTTTCGTCAGGCACTTCCAAAGCAAACGCACGAAATCGAACTGAACCAAAGCAATGTTGACAACTCCCCTGATTCAGTTTCTGTTATGATTTCCAAGTGGGAAACATTGGCAACCTTTCCAGCTTAAACGGTATTCACATAGAATCATGCGTTTCCTGACAAGATGGGTTTCATGCTACTTGGCGGGTGGACGGTCCATGCAAAAAAAAACACATTGTTCATGGTAGTCAGTTGAGTTCAAAAAGAAAGGCCTCCCCCAATAATCAAAACATAACACGACCAACACATTCAGAGAACAATGCGAATTCAACGCCCCACACACACACATTTCCGGGTTTACAGTACATCTTTTTACAGAGGCATTGGGCCTCGGTTGGGTCTGACATGGCAATAAGCTCCGTCCGGAGAAAAACTCGCGCGCGCCTGCATGCCCCGCACCGCTTTGTCGAAGCCAGGGACCACCTCAGCCAACTGGACTCCGAGGGTTTCGGCTTGGTCTTGGTTGACGTTGGAAGGGGAGCAAAAAATAAAATTTTAGCAGCTAAGTGGTTGGATTTCAACCACTAAACCACCATAAGCACAAATGTAAAATGTGTCCCAACAACGACCATGTGGGCACACCCCTGCAAAGTAACATGGAAGCCCACAAAAGCATTGTGCCGGACTCTGGTCTTGGGGACCCCTCAATCGGGCTGCTTACAAAGGAACTTCGAAGCCAAGAAAAAATCAAACAACAATTCATGAGCTATACACCATAGCCCCAGAAGGAAGCTCAATCAAACCGAGCCCAAAACGTGATGTTCAAATCACCAGAAACAAGCAAACGTGGGTATATATCAGAGAATCGTCTAGCTAGTCTGCCAAAACTGGAAACTCAAAACTCGGTTGCTTTCTGCTCCCCTGCTAAAACTTTAACTTTTAGTGGTTTAATAGCAAACCCATTAGTTGGCAACAAGTTAAAGTCCTAACATCCAAGCAACATGCAACAAAGAAAAGGTCCAAAGGTCAAATGGCTTAGCCAAAAGCCCAAGACATCTTGGAGCAGCACCTGTCCCAGGCCCACGGTGAAGCTGATGGGACCTTTGCCTGGTGCGACAGGCGTGCAAATCTAAGGGTTCTTGTATTACACCCTGGGAATACACCCACTGGGTCACATTTCCGGATAAAACCGTGTTATTTTGAGCCATTCTGGGTCATTTCTCAAGGGTGTACTCCCAGGGTGTAATACAAAACTGTCAGAGCAAAGGAAGGGTCTCAGATTCTTCTAACAAGGTCCTGAGAACCCTTCCTGATAAAGCGAGGGCGGGGGCGGGGGGGGGGGGGGCTAGGTTTTTCCTAGAAAATGAGGTCTGCTCCCAATCCATGAAATGCACACCAACTCAGCGCAAAATAGGTGGAACAAAAGAAACGCCCCTCTTGCAACCCATCAGTGACTTTCCCGAAAGACCCCAAGAGGACCAGATCCTCAAGGGTAACCCCCAAGGAGAAAGTGGGCTCTTCTTAGATGGTCTGGGACTTAGCTAAATGGTTAGTAACCATGGGCTTAAGCCCCCTTAACCAGGCTTATTAACCATTTAGCTAAGTCCCAGACCATCTAAGTTTGGCACCCAATCAACAATCAGTTTTTCTAGGTATGGTCCAGGGGCCTGGCGCGGAAACCTCTGAATCAGGCGCGGCCAAATGGAACGACTCAGGTTGAATTCGCTTTGGGCAACCGGGACTGCACTCAGGGGGAATGACCACGTTACTAAACCTTGTCTGAAAATTCAAAGGTGCCGGAACCTCATGACCGTTTATCTACCAAGGTCGTCAAACATGTTTACTAATGTTCTTAGCATGATAACACCACCTTTGAGCCAAATACTGAGACCCCCCCCTATTACGGCCGAGTTGAGGGTTTGACGCTTGTTTCAAACATGGAAGTGGACAGCGGGCTTCCGAACTGGGTTGGGGGTCCCTAACCTGTGTGCAATCCATAGTGGCACACAGTTACAACAACGGAACCACCATCAGCTGGCAGTGTGTCAAATATATGTACCCAAAAGGGAAACCCTGGTAAATGGAAACATGGATTAACCCTGTGGTCCCACGGTGGTTTAATTTTGACCCATACCCAGCTGGCATAAGGATGAAGCATTGAGTTTCAACCTGTCTTGGCATCGGGGGCATGACGCTCAGCACAGCCCACCCTTCATTGGATGGACAACGAGAAGCTTGCGGACTTTCTTTGTACCCCGCAACGAGGCAACTTGACAGTGAATCGAGGTAGAACGAACCGTTCCACTGGGACCCAGTATCCCCCACCCAAAAGGAACAAGTGAACACCAGAAGGATCGTTTCATCCAGGTTGCAACTGAGTTTCTGCTTGTGCATGAATTTTGTCCCCCCCTTCGAAGGGGAAGCGGTGGGGTTTCCCCAATTCATCTGTTAGAACTCACATCCTCCAGCCACAGCAAACTGGACCTGAAAATCGGGACCTCCACCCGAATTTGCGCACACGCCACGTGCCTTCCCGCGTGTCAAACACGGTGCCGTCCTGCACGAGGCGAAAGTGGTTGTGCATTGCCAGGTGGCTCAGCGCAAGCGGCGAACTTGGGGCCTGGTTTGGGGGTTGAGGGACCCGGTCATGTAAAATACCTTATTTGGACAGATGGCAACGCTTGGTGGACTCCGCTCCAGGAAAGTGACTCTGACCTCATTTGGCCCAATTGGGCTGCAAGTAACTAGCCGTCTTACAACATCCAGACTCATGCAGCTCCGTTCGTTTCCCCTTCCAGCCTTACCTCGCCAAAAGGAAGCTCCTCGCAAAGTGATGCTGAAACAACCTTATGGGTGTGGGTCAAAAATAGGTACCCAACATGGAACCCTGGTAAGTGCAACCAAAAATTAAAACCTGCCGTCCCGGGTTTGATTTTAATCCATACCCAAATGATGAAATATTTCCCCCAATCCCCTCCCCGGCCTCTGCGAGGCGGCCTTCATAGTTGACAAAGACCTGGCAGCTCTGTTGACCTCTCCGTTGTGTCAACGTTCCTTATGGACCCTCTAGGTCCTCCAGTAGAGAGGTTTTCTGTAGTCTATTTTAGTGGGGGAGGGTCCCCCCAAAAAATGTAAAAGTACACTACTGGGGGACCTAGCCCTGTGGTGGACATCAACAGAAACACGGGTTAGTCAGCAGTGTCCAACTGAACTTGAGGGAGCCGAGCTACCCAAATCCTGTTCAACCGCGACAGGTGGATAAGGTGGAGTTTAGATCGATCCACACGTGCAGCGAAGTGGCAAGTGAGGCGTCGCTCCGCGCAGCTTGCCCTCTGAAGAAGCATTAGGTATTAGTCACACTTGAGGCAAAAGCGCACTCTTGGCGGCCATCATGAGTGTTTCCAAAACTCACCTCTTGGAACCTTGAAACACAATAGGCTAATTTTTGGTCAGATCAGATCGATTCGCTTTCGTTGCGCAGGAAAATACAGGACGTTTCATAAACTGATCAGTTTACCATTTCCTTGGCCGTCTGGACTTACATATCCCGGTGTGCAGGGAATCAAGTGGATACGCACTGCTTCTTTGTTGGGCACCTTGCCATGAAAGCTTGGGGGCACATTTCTCGAGGGCATTTAGTTTCCAAGGGCATACCTCCATGAGGACACAAGTACATGCTTGAAAGGTGGAACCCAAATACTCTTCCAATCAAAACATTCTTCAGAGGCCAACACTCTCTCAAGCTTTCTCACCTACTTTTGGGTATCAATGGCATTTTAAGCCACGTAGATCAGGACTGGGTTAGTGGGTTTATAACCCTTCATGCCCGTTTTGGTGGCTTCTTGGCCGAACTTAGGCACCCAGCAAGCAGTCAACTGCTTGCTAGTGCGAGAAGTTTAAAGGGTGTTTTTTGTTGGCAAACGAAGGCAACAGCCTTCAATGTGCCCTCCCGACCACCCCGCGCCGGTGAGGTAAGCGTGCCCATGTTTTGGTGTCACTTCCTTCGAATTCAGGCCTCATCGCCCGCTTTCACCTCCCGCGCGGCCATTGCCACTACACCTGCGCTTGGCTTCCGCTTGGTTTCCTGGGGACCCAGGAGAACTGAACAAACGGCCTCAGGTTGGAAACCAAGCAAACAACGAAACCTCCATCCATTTTTGGGGGTTCCAAGAGACACCCAGATCTATTGATTTCGCCTATTCTGTGCTGCGTTTTCTGACGTTCTGAAAACGCGGCTCCAGTTCGATTTCCACCTGTTCGAGGTCACGTACCCGAAAGCAGCTGCCCTACTTCTTGGAGGACTTCCCAACCCCTTTTGTGGGTCTACGTTTAGACCGGCGACCTTTTGAAGCTTGGTATCATGACGGGGATACGTGCGACCACCCAGCTGTTAAACCGAAACGTCTGCATCCTGGGGCCTCATCATCCCCACGCACGGTCACACGATCACACGCATCAAAAGAGGACAGTGGGTGTTCCACGACGTCGTGGGACACAAGGAAGGCAACCGATGCCATAAGGCAGGCAACAGGATGGAAGAAATTGGCGTGAAACAATCCAGTCTAAGGATCTCTGATTCATATCCAATGCTGTCTTTTAAGGTTTATAATATGGGACTCCCCCCAATTGGGTCATTTCCCTTTTCCATCCTTTTCCCTTGAAGCAACCTCACAAAGGGTACCGGTGCCCAAACACGACACGTAGTGACCGACTCGGGCCGGACCCTACCCTCGTGCCTCTGCATGTGGGCCGACGGGAAGCTGCACCCTGGGGTGGCCCATCCGATGTCGGCCGTAAAACTTGGGTGTGTCTTGTTTTGAGGCCCTGAAAAATAGCAGTTTGCTCTTGGCTTTCCTTTGAAGCCAACCATTCTTTTCAAAAAGGGTACTAGTACCCCAAAAAAAACGAACCTATTTGGCTTTAAAGCCCAGAACGGGAGCTGTGCAGGAAAAACAATCTTCCTGTGTGGACACGTCTCGTGCCGTGTATGGCATCCCTCTGTTTGAGTCCGTGTTAATCTAGGGGAGACACCTATTCTGGCCGCCTCTAAAGGCTGAGCGTTGTGGATTTGTCGTTGCGCGCATGGGGTCTCCCTCTGCCCCCTTCAAACCCACCAAAAACAGGGCGTGCATGTTGACACCAAAACGATCGTTTTACCCTTGATTTTTCTTCAGAAGGGCCGCACGCCTAATAGGGTGTGAATAAATATCGCCCAAAGCAACAAAACAGGGCAGTTGAAAAGACCCAACTACCAGCGCAATGAAGGAGGATCCGCCTGTAGCGCAGGTGCTTTTTGGATTTGTATCCCTTGTTGCTTCTTGGGAAGGCCAGTTTGGTGGCAAACAACAAGTTGTTGCCAAACGGGGTTCCTCAAACAACACACCCAAAAAGCACCTGGTTTGCAAATCGTCTCAAGCACGCTGCTAAAGGTCGTTTCAGTGGCCCCAACGCATCCTTTACTGTCAGGGAGCCGGAGGCCGTGAGATCCTTTCAGCTTGGTGACTTACGAATCGGTTGGTGGTGTCCCATGCTTCTGCAAAAAAATACTTCAACCGAACCACCAAGCACCATGTGGGCCTGAAGTATCCTGAAGTGAGATCCTGCCATCTCCAGCTGGGAGCCTGGCAGCTGCCACTAGGCCACTCAGCACACCCACCCTGGAGCCGAGGAGCCGATGAGCCGATCGCTCCCGCACATTAGGAGAAACGACTGGCAAAGGTGGCCGGGCGCTTTATTGGGCAGTTGCTTGAAATCCTCAAACTTTGATCTTCGTTCCACCACCAACAAACACACTAAGAGGAGCAAAATCTGAAGTTTGGTTCACTTCCTCAAAGGGCCCCCATATCTAAGGGTTTTTGTATTACACCCTGGGATTATACCCGTGGGACATGGCCCAACATGGTCCAACATAACATGCTTGTTCATCCCGAAAATATGCCTAAATAGGGGCATTTCCCAGAGGCCGTAATCCCAGGGCGTAATACAAAACACCCTTAGAGCATAGTAAGTAGAAAGTGACTGCCTTCTGGGGCCTCAACTCAGCACAGTGGCCACTGGAAAGCCGAAAGGTCGACCAGCTGTGGTTGCAAGCGGATTGCTTTTGGGCAAAGCAGTCTTTCCAGCTGTCCCTTGACCGGGGGTTTGGCGGCTCTTGGGTTGGTTTGGCGCAATCAAATCGAAGCCTCAGATTCCCAATTCAAATTCATCTTGGTAGCCTGATACGAGGATTTTTCTCGAATTGGACACGTCCAAACATCAAGAAGGGTTCAGTTTACTTTCCCACTGAGTCGACCTCCCCCACAACTCCACTGTAGGCAACAAAAAGGCGTCCTTCCTTGGAGCCGATTGTAAGCGGGAACCCCCTTACACACAAAAAAATAAGAAATGGGACAGGTCTTCGGACCATTCCCAAGGCCCTCCGCGCTCACTGCTTCCCCCGAGTCGAGTCTCACTGAGGCCGCGGCCGTTTCAGCGGCCCGGACGCCGCCGAACGCGTCGCCGGCGGCTTCGGCAGTTGCCGCGCGACTCCGGCGGCGCGCGCGACCTCCCACGAGAGCGGCCAGAAAGCCCTGCGGCAGAGCCACAAGCTTAGAATAACCCCCTACTCTAGGGTTGGTTCCCCTTTTTCGTGGCTTTCTAGAAAGAAGGTTTTTCTGGAAAGAATGGGGAAGTTACCCCTAGACCTACACCCAACACCCACTTGTGTTCTGAAACATGATGTCAACCCCTCACTACAGGTATTTACCATGGGAAACCTGGTTTCGAATTCAGAATGCTCTGTGCCCAACAAGGCGCCAATTGCTGCTCTTGTCAACCGCGTCTTTGAACATGTGAGTCACTGTTGGACCATGATTGAAAAACAACGTCTGTGGCAAACGAGACCACTTGCACTTGGGTCTTAAGCTCTGTCTGTGAGTTGCTGTTTCCTTTAAGTACCTGGAAACACACACATTTAAGATTTTGGCCCATCTTGAAAAGTAGTCTTTCTAGGGTTCCCTCGAACATTCAATCACAATGCATGATAGCAGGTCGGCTTTGAACAGGGATAGGCAAACTAGGCGTTTGTCTAATTTGGGTCTCTCTTCTTCAGGGGACCAACAGAACTGTGGTCATCAATCCAAGCCCCTGGCAGGCTCGGCCGCACGAAGGCTCTGTCCACGTGCGGCAGGCAACTTGGAAGGCAAAAGGCCGTCTCTGGAATTTTCCTTGAAAGGTTGGATGTGCGAGGTTTCCATTGACACTGCCCTAGGTTTTATAGTTGAGAGGTTAGAATAAGGGTACCCTTTTGGCACGTGACGCACGAGTGTATTGCGCGCGTGGGTGGTAGGGCATGCCGCCCTACTACCGGTGAAATGAGGGGCATCAGCCCCGCACAAAAACCTCCGGGAGGGGCTCAACCGGAGGTGTGAAAGGGAGCCGAGGCTCCACCAACAGACGGTGACCACAGGGGAGCTTTGCAACATCCCTGTGGCCACCCCAGGGGACCGAGCAACCAAGAAAGCCCATAGCTCACTGAACCAGATGGTCAGGAACGCACAGGACGAAATCCACAAAACTCCCAGCAAATTGGGAACAACAGGGCTGCACAAAGCGCCACGCAAAGCGGGCCTAGACCAGGCATCCAAACTGGGAGACTAGCACAACGTAGCACCTTCACCCGAAGGCGTTCAGAGGCTGGGACTAAACCCGAACAGAGCCAATCCCCAAAGCAGGGATTGGCGCATGCAAGGCGTAGGATGCCGCACGGGTGCCACGAAGTAAATGCTGAGCCAAAAAAAGGACAGTCGCCAGGTAGAGGAGGCTCTGACGCGCGCAAACAGCACTCGCAGCGAAGAGTGACAGCACTGAAAGTAGCCAGCTGCAACAGGAAGGATAGGAGAAGTCGCACCTGCTATGAGCAATCAGAGGACTGCCAGCGCCACTGTAGATCTGCACGGAGTCTGTACTGCTGCAAAAACTGCATATATTCGCACAATCCAGCAAGGAGGTAACCTTACCCACAAGGTACACTCCAGGAGATTGGTCACATACCCACAATGTGGCAAGTGGAAAACCCCAAAGCAGCGCGACGTCGTGCAAAAAGGCAAAAGCAATCACCTCGAAGAAGAAGAAAATGCCCACCTGGATGAGGTAAATGGCCATGACACATAGGAGAGTCACACCAGACCGTAGCACGCACCACTCTAACAGTTGCCAACAAATCCGAGTAGGGCAGGGGCCTCCACGTTGAAGAAGAGAACGGTGCTGCAGCATGGCAAGCTGCTTGGTGGACGCTTCACCGGCACATGGATGCCTAGCGAAGCCCTGGGGGCACACCTCCCGGAGGCAAGTAGCTGTGGAGCCGAAATGCCTATAAGGGTACCCTTTTTTTCTGTAGTCTATTTTAGTGGCACCTAGCTGGGGGACCTAGCTGCCAATTTTGGAGGGCCACAAAAACCGGAAATTGAGGGCCCCCGGTTTTCCCAGCCTCTCATGCAGCCGGGCCCGCACGTGCAACCAGAAATGGGCCATGGCCAAACCAGTGAGCTTTGGGGCGATGGCATCTGTCAGCCGTGGTAAATTCACCACCAGCCCTGGTAAATGTTGGAGTTACGAGGTTCCCTTGTTCGTAGTTTCAAGGCGTTCAAATTGCTTAGTACTGGCTTCCCATTCAGCCAAATCATATCAAATATCGCCACTCAAGACCAACTCAACACCAGAACATTGAAACCCTTTGTCAAGTGAGGCCGGAAGGCAAACCACCTTGTTGGGGGGGGGCCCTCCGATTTGCAGACACAGTCGAAAGGACGCTTCACCTTGCACTCCGGAAACCACTGGAAAGCATAGTGCACATATATTGGGTCTCTCCCTTTTGGGGTGGCTTGAAGGGAAACCAGAAGAGAACCACTCATTCTCGGGGGAGTCCCCTAAAGACACCACCTACATCCGGAGAAACAGCGCCAGAGATAAAAGAAGGCTTGAGGTATTGGCACCCTGTGCGAACAAGCGCCCCGGCAACTGGCCAAGTATGTCTGAGCAACTGGTCCCATTCAAGGAATCGAACACGACAGAAAATAGGGTTTAGACAAAAAGGGGATAAACATGTTTGAACATATTGGCCCAACTCTGGGCTAACAAGCTGAGCTAAGGCCCCCGCCATCACAGAGATTGGCGCCGCCAAGTGGTACGTGTAAAATGCCAAGCTGCTAGAAACAAATTGCTGTCGGGGGCTTCTTCAGTGGCAAAGCAAGTGGCTCAGTAAAGGAAAGGAAGCTCTGATCCTTGAACCAGGCTGGCCAAAGTGTTCAAGTGCTCCAACTGTGGGCATGCCGAACAAGGCGAGCATGTCTCACGGGAACCGAGCTTCGACCCGTAGACCCAGCTGGTCGAGGACTCTCTGACAAGGGGGGCGTGGAGTGCATCCATGGCTTAGAAGGGGTGCCAACCCGGTTGACCACCACACCAGGAGTTGCTGCCATTTACCCCACCCCGCCCCAAACCCCCCATTTCTGCAATCCACGGGTGGGTAAAACCGACTAGCCACTGTGAATGAATATCAACATCGTAGACTCGTTGGATGCTTGTGAAGACTCAGTTGCCCATCGGACCAAGCACAAAAAGGTCCACCTTTTGGCACATATAATAAAAAATTGACCAAACTGGGAAAACCCAAAGGTGAAAAGGTCGGCTTTGGGGCAAGTGAGAAGAGTAGCTTTCCGCAAAAGTCTGCACTTCAACCAGCCCCAGGCTAAGTGTCGATAAAGAGTTGCTTTGGCAGAAGTTTTAGGACATCCAAATAAGCAGGCCGCGGAAAACAACGAACTCACCATGCCCGGCCCCAAGTCCTTTTGGGGTGGGTGACGGACCCAAAAGGAAACCAACAGGTCATTTCAGGTCGGTTCACTCATTTTTCTCTAGCCGGTAGAATACAGACCCTTTTCCCTTTTTGGGGCAAAACATATTTTTAGTAGTGAGAGCCCTCCAAACGAACGCGGATAAGGGTGCTACAAGTTGCTACTAATCAGCTCGAAAGGAACTCATCAATGCCCAGTCGGCTCACGGCTTTTCCAAGCAATCTGTGATGCTCCATGTTGAAGCCTGCTTTATACAGCCGAGTGGCAAAGTGAGAGGCTGCCAGCGCTTGCCAAGCTTCCTCCAATCGTGGGGAAGCTGACCAGGGGGGACTACTTTTCTTTGGGGGAAATCCCTCTGCCGCACTCAGCACAGGTGCGCCGCTGCTGGCCTCCACGGGCCTCCCGACCCTTCCCATTGGCTTTCTTGGCCGTCAGACTCGGTTCCATATCTAATCTAATGTACCCTGAAGAATAAAAGCTGGCTGGTGCTCAGGGAATGAGGAATGGAATGACCCTTATAAACCATCTAACCGGTGGTTTCCTTTAAAGGAATCCATGGGTTCATTCCATTTCTCATTCCCTACCTATCGCAGCAGCCAGAAAAACAACGCATCTGCTTCAAAAAAAGTAATGGCTCCCCTGGCGCTGACTCAAAAGGCGCCTCGCTGGCAGCCCCTCAAGCCTCAAGGGCTGAACCCTCTCAAAGCTCCGTGCGCGGCCTGAATGCAGCCACAAAACGCGGGGCTGCCCAGATCTCCATATCTCGCCTGCCTGCCTCCCTATTCACCCGCCCCCGTTCCATTTCGGGGTGGGGAAATCTCAATGTCTCGCACATCCGCGCAGCTTTTTGGACAAACTGTTCGAAGCTGCAAGCTTCTGCCAAGTCACCTGCCCTTTGCTGGAAACAGGTGGAAATGCAAAACGGCAAATGGCCTTTAATGGCAATCAGAGTCTGAGGGCAAATCTAGTTGTCAGGGGTTGAAGAGGTTGGTCTGCTTGTCTGACAATAAAAGCGAGAGTAACCCTACTAGTCTAACTAAATGGCTCTTGGATTGAGCGCTGCAAAGGGTTGCAACCTGAATCGGAAAGGGACAAGCTCTTCACTCAAAGGGGCTGGGACTGATTCACCTCACATCCATGACAATGTTGGGGCCTTCCCAGTAGCTCTCGCATTTTCCAGGTTGGGGCATACAGGATCAACAAAGGGGCAGGGAAGGGGAAGCGCTCTTTGATTTTGGTGCACCGCCGCCTCTGTTTTAAGCTAGGAAAGCCCTGGCCTTCGCACTCTGACCTCTGACCTCATAGTGCATGACAGCCAAGGATACGATCCCTGAAAGAGCTAGGGCAGGCGGCCGCCCTGCTCGGCTGAGGGCTTGGTCGATGTTCCTTTCCCAACATCACCCCACCAAAAGGTTTTTCTTTTAACAGCTGGCTCAAAATGCTGGCTCAAGATACTTATACTGGCATTTTGGTATTTACTTACTCAACCACTGGCTCAAAAAGAATGCATTTTTTTGACTGCAGGGACATATGCGCCATCCCTGGTGTAGGCCGTGGCCATGGTTCCCCCTCAGAATTCCACGACTTCTTGTCTTGAGTCGTGGGTAGGTGATTTCCTTTTGATCCCCTTTCAAAACCGTCCAACAAGTGGGTCTCCTATTTTGAGACACACCCATGTCCACAAAAACGGGAGAGACCTCTCAATCTTCCCATGTCTTTCTCGAAAAAAAGTCTCATGTTCCCTGATCACAGGGGAACATACCTGATATGATGCACTCCGAGGCATAGGGAATGAAGACCGACTTGTAGGGAAACATGCCTCGTAAGACATACCGAGCTGCCGAAAATGCGAGTGAACAAATCCTGCATTTGGTTTTACTTGTTGCGTTTTCCCGAGGCACCTTCTTGTTCGGGCCATCTGAAAGGGTTCAAGTCCCGAATGGTTCTACTTTGCAGCAAGCAACCATTGACTCAGCGGGATTTAGCGGAAGCTCATAGCTGAAGGGTTCGTGATCACCCAAGCTGTGAGTTGCTGGCACAGGTCTGTACCCGTGCTTCTTTGACGCCACTTGCTTTTGAGCACCCTCCAATGGATGTTGCGCGTTTAACAACAAACAAAAAAATGCCCTACTGCAGTTCTGCTCGGTTGCTTTCTGCTTCCCTGCTAAAAGTTTAACTTTTTTTAGTGGTTTAATGGAAAACCCATTAGTTGGCACAAAGTTAAAGTCCTAACATCCAAGCAACATGCCCCAAAGTCTGGGTCGCTGCAAACTGCCTTTGAATCTGAAACTCCCATCGCATTGAGAGCGGCGCTGTGAGCGCGGAGCTCTGCTTTATCTGAATGGCCTGGCCGGTTTCGAAAAAAATCACTCTCGACCCTTGTGCCCTGACCAAGGGAAAGGCAAAGTGAAGGACCACAAAGGTATCTCACTGAATGGCCTGCACATCTCACTCAATGGCCTGCATGGATTCGAGTTGCCGAAAATGTCAAACCTCCAAAACCCCTTGCTCAGTCGTAACCCTTGGAGGGCATCCTGTGCGCAAATCCCAACGAACTGAAAATGAGCGCCCCTCTAGTGCCTAAACTCGGCCCCTTGGTGGACGCCTCCCTGCGCGAATCGCCCAGTTGCGAGGGTGGCAAACAGTGGCCATGCAGAATGGCTGTCAGCAGAACTGGTACGCTTTGAACTGCACGGGCAAATTGCCCCATGCCCCCTTTCTTTTCTCCAGCAACCTGGACCGAACAATTCAAGTCTCGGATATCCTTGAAAGAATGGCACAAAATAAAGTCCAAATCCTCCAAACAAGCCAGGCATTCCCGACAAAGAAGATCATAAGAAACCCATGCAATGTAGTGCTGATATTATAGAAGTTCTGGTTTTCTGGAGCTATGATCCTACTTCCTGATGAGCATATTTGTATTATTATAAGGACTGATATGAATATACCGGAGAGTCCAACGATTCATCCAGATAATAAATCCGCCGACCCCATGCCTGGTCCAGAATGGACCATGCTTTCGGCATGGGGGCGGTGTGTTCTGTGTTGCTTTTGTTGATATGCTTTCTATAAGTTTAATGTGAATATGATTATGTAGATATATATATATATATATATAACCTATAAGTCCCTTGGGGCGGCCCTTGGGGCTGGTTTCTACGTCGGCTGGATTTCTGGATTTCTGGATTTCTGGATCTCTGGATTTCTGGATCTCTGGATTTCTGGAATTCTGGATTTTCCCCTCCCCCCCCCCCCTCCCCCCAAAAAATAGAAGAAGTAGGGGGCCTGGGGGGAAGTCTGTTGAGGGTTGCCTGTTCTGGTTTTTATGTTCATCTCAAATCTGTGTTCCCCCTTATTCGTTTTTAAAAGAGGGTTTTTAGGGAGCTTATTTATCGTTTTCGTTAAGGTAATCATTTGGGTAAATTGTCGCCTTGTTCATTGTTGGGCTGGGGGCAAACATTTTTTTCATTTGAAAGAGGTAGCCCTTTTAGTAGTTATCAAGTTCTGGGGTGTTGGTGGGTCGTTTGTTTCTTTGACGTTTATCTCTACAATTATTTATTTTTGTTCTACACTCTTGACAATATTTATATCTTCTTCCACTTTTTACATTTCCAAATTCATCAATTGTTTTATCATAAAGACATCTGTTGCATTTGAAGAATTCACCATAGTCTTCTGTTGCTTTTTCTTCTGTCATTCCATAATTATTCATTATAGTTTGCTTCACAACCATTTCTTTAATATATCTTAACAACTTCTTTTTATGTGATTTTTATGTGATTGTCTAGTTATGTTTTATAGGTTGAAATTACAGTATAATGAAAGGTTATAAAAGTTTACACTGTTTAATCATATTATAATTAAATATTATGATTAAAGCCATGAAATCATTGTTTCTGTTTTCTATAAATTTCAATTGCAACATGTTCGATAGTAATGATTTCGTGTCGTTTCATAGTCTGTTTGGTTTCTTCAACTGCTTGTTCAATATGGTATTGTAATGACGCTCTACTTGAAATCTTATTCTGTTTAGATGATGAATAAGAACGACTGTTGCAAATATTATTATTATACATAATTTTTGAACTAACTTCTATTCCAACCTGTATTTCTTCATCATACTTCATCATTCTTAATAATTCTTTTGGTGGTTTCAACGCATATGAAAGCGCTTTATCACCTTTTAAACATTTATTGCGAATCTCAACATAATATCTACTTTCTCCTACTCGTTCAGTGTAAATAGACGGTTTCCATTTCCTTTGTAATTCTCTTAAAGCATCACATTGTTTCTTGTCTTCGCCACCCTTCACTCACCATTAATGTAAGTAGTTAGATGATTGAAACTAAGCCTTCTATA